TACTGTACAGATGGCAATCAAAATTGAGGAATAGTGACCTGGAAAGAAATATCAGAATGGATAAAGATCTTTACCAGCACCCAAACTTCCCCACAACATTCTGAATTAGCTGCTGTCTTGCTTGCATTGCAAACCTTGCGAACTTTACTCTCTTAACAGATTCCTTTTATGTTGTTAATATCGTTCAACAATTGCCCGATTCTATTTTAAATACTTCAGTCGATAAACCATTACTTTCCCGTTGTTTCTATTCAGACTCTTTTAACTAAACGACAACATCCTTTTTTTCATAGCTCATATTGGAGGACAAACACAATTTCCTGGACCTCTTACTTTGGGAAATCAACAGGCTGACTCTTCTCTTCACCTTATAGGATCAGTGGTTACCGCTGCCTTTCAGTCACATCAGTTCTTCCACCAGGGTGCCAAGGCACTACATAAACAATTTGCTCTAACCTTACTGGAAGCCAAAAAGATTGTTAGTACCTGTCCCACCTGTCAGTTTTTCACTCCTTCTCTCCCAGAAGCTGGCGTTATAACCCTCGTGGTTTCTTCTAATGAGTTATGGCACATGGATGTTACTCATTATCCTCCATTTAAACCATTTCACTTTGTGCATGTAACTGTGATATTTTTTCAGGCTTTTAATGGGCTACCACACAACATGGAGAACAAGCACATCATGTGCAAGCTCACCTTGAATGTTTTGCTATTTTAGGGCACCCTCAAACCATTTAAAACTGATAATGCTGCAGCATATACATCACACAAACTTAAGGATTTCTTTCATCTATGGGATATTAAACACATCACAGGTATTCCGCACAACCTTACTGGACAATCCATTATTGAATGCGCAAATGGGCTACTGCAATTATTTTTAAATAAACTGAAAAGGAAAGAATTAACCCCTCCTAGGGAATGATTATATATTGCCTTATTCACTCCTAATCACTTGTCAGTTTCCAAAAATTCTTCACAATCATCTGCTGTTACTAGACATTTTGCTACTCCACATTCGCAAGAATGCTCTCTGGTCCTTTTTAAACAACCACCCTCTCCTATTTGGCAAGGACCTGTTAAATTACTAACATTGGGAAGGGGATTTGCTGCTATTTTGTCTCCATCAGGTCCACTTTGGATCCCTGCCCATTGTGTGAAACTTTTATCATGTGTTGGCACCAAAGACTTCAGGATCCATTACTGGAGTTTCATATGTTGACCACCCAGCTGACTCTTCGTGGCTGGCATGCCTCTTCCGAAAAGACTGAGGAATAATCAGTCATTCACCAGCCGGTGACATTATGTGGGGTGATATTAAAGTCTTACTTTAAGAGCTGAAATAGTTCTTGCTAATAGTGGCACACCTATTACTCCTGAAAATATGTTGCTTTCCCTTTTAGCCACTATAACCGTTAACTCTGCCCATGAGGTATGGCTGTTTCGGGTTAGTTTTTTTATTTCTGTTTTTCACTAGGGTTCCTGCTCATATACTACTTGACAATAACTGTGCATACTGGGCTCACTTAATGAATCCTGCTCTGTTGTCTGTTGTCACATGGGAAGATCCAGAGCTTCCTATTTCTACCAATGATTCCACCATTACTGGGGGAGAGTGGCTTTCTCCTTCATCTGTTTTACCTATGCACACCTTAGAGTCTCTTGGACCATTAATGGTTCACAATCCACCCTTCTGCATAACTAATTGAACGAATGCACAGATATGTGCTTACACCAGCACTTGGTGGCATATGAATAATATGATAAAACCCCCCAAAACGATCAAATTGTTACCAGTAGACGTTAGACCTTTGTGTCTACTTCTGGTTTCCAAGGAAACTTAGCATCTGCAGTGTCTCACCCAAAACCATCAATCCCATTATGTATTCATGCGTGGGTTGATATGCCACTGTTTGATGGATTTAATTGGCATGTTTGTGGATCTCACAATTTTTCCACACAGCTCCTCCTGATCGATAATTATACAATAGAAAATTGGGGTCCCCAAGGATTATTGGTTCAAGACAGTAACAAAACTTGACATGGTCAGATTTGGAATTGGTCTTTTCTCTTTCACTATAATAAATCTGATCCTTTATGGAATCCCAGATTTACTGGAGTGTACCCTGTTTAAAATTTGCACCATTACAATACTCTCCTACTAAGATCCTCATGTGGCGTCATCTTGCGCTTCCTTTTTCTCATGGGTTTTGCAACGGGGCCCTGGAATCTGTAACAGTTATCATTTTGTTTGGAACTTTACAGACATGAATGCCCATGTTAATATCTGCACTACCAGACCATACATCTTTGCCCTTGCTTATAATTTTACCCTTTCTATTAAATTGACCCTGGTGTGGTGGTTCTCATCTAGCTCAAATTGCTCAAACTATCCAGGCTAGTTTGGGATAGAAAGCGTTTTTTAGGTGCTCTAATAGTTTCCATCATAGCTGTTGCCATGGTAGCTGCTGTTGCAGCCGCTGCTGCCACTGCCCTTTCTGCTTCCTTAGAAACTGCTGACAAGTACTTACTCTTATAGCTAATACAACTTCTGACTTTACTGAACAGTGGAAATGGATCACATGGTTTTATCTTGACTTGTAGCTTTGGAAGCTGCAGTTTTATGGCTCGGTGAAAATCAGCATGTTCTTTGAACTTGATCACAGTTAGACTGTGATAGCATGTTTTCTCATGTCCAGAACATTGATTGCTTTATTTTCTTGACTCACCCGCACTGAGGCGATGCTAACGCTGTTCTTCTGACAAGAAGATCAGAGAAACACTCATTAAAGCAAGAAGAGGGGATTTGTGGGAACCATGTTTTACTGCTTTCTCAGAAATGTCTCTTGGAATTTAATATTACTCACTCTCTCTTCCTTGCTTGGTCTTTCTCCTGCTCTTGAGTTAAGCGGTCTAGCTGACATGTCAACATTACCAAGACACTGTTCTGCATGCAGAACAATCCCCCTTATCGTCAAAGGCCTTTCTTTGGGACTCTCATGTGATTTCCTCTAGACCTCCAGGAGGTAGCATCCTTAATCCCAGAGTTCTGGTCATTGTCTTGCTTTACTGCTCTTAAAGATTACAAGAAAAGTTTCCAATAAATAAGTGCTCAGCTTTTTCTCCCTATGGCTCTCATAATCCTGTGTGTTTGTGAGAATTACTCAGTGCGACACCACCAGAGGGATGGTATAATGTATATATTTGTACACTTTCTCAAAACATAAAGGAAACGGCAATTTCATCTTCATGATGCTAGATACAAGAAATATCATTAGCAGATTTTTTCTTTGGCTCGTTAACAACTTTGGATTGATTATTTTCATTTATTATTTGGTAGGAACAAACGGGTATTGTATAATTGAATTTTATGGTTTCCCACAATTGGAGAAATCAGTGATTTTAATTTTATGTGCAACAAATTTTGAATTAGAAGATGCTGTAAATTTTGGCTTAGTGACAGCTTTTTTAAAGAAGCTCAGTATTTGCTTAGATTTAATTGAAATCTCTGTGAAAGATAGTGTTAAGAGGAGAAAAATCACTAGATTCATTTGTGTACTATATTTTATGTGATCATGCAGAATATATATTAGAACTTAATATGTTGCATACTAAAGGAAGCCACTGTATATCCCCATGGGAAAAAATTACATGGCTCAATTTAACTCTCAGATGGATATGAACTGTTTTTTTGTGGCACATGAACAAATTTCCTACCCTTTGGGAAATTTGGCATGGATGTAGTTATTTAATAACTACTAAAATAGTTTTATATATTTAAATAGCTATCTTATAGCTATTTAATAGCTACTGAATAGTTGTAGTTATTAATGCTAAGAAGCAATTTAAGAAAATAGCCACTTTGAGGAATTTAGTGTTTCACTTAGACTTGCAAAAAGGGTAATCAAAATAGCAAACAATTTTTGATACTTGGTGTATCTTACTGCCTTAAGTGTTTTACAGTTTGGTTTTTCTTTAGTCCTCGCAACCTCATGATGTAGTTACTAGTATTGATGTCATTGTTCAGATAATGAAACTGAGACTTTAAATAGTAAAATTACCACTCCCGAATGTTAGGCATTATTAGTTTTTTATTTTGTCAAATTAGTGATCATATCTTATACTTGGGTAGCTTGCCAATTTCTTTCACACAGGCCTCATCTGATTGATAGACAGCATGAGTGCTCAAGACCAGATCATTTAGAGATGCGTGTTCTGCAGCTCTCTGGTTCTTCTTGGTGATAATCATTTTCATTTTACAGCAGCTTCTAGTCTAAGATAGGTGTTATGCTCCCTCTATTCAGTTTCCCAACTCCCACTAAGAATCTGTTCAGCTAAACTTTAAAACATTAACATATTACTTTGAGAATTAGTTCAGCTTTTATATCGAGTTTTATATTGCTTCCAAACTTATGTCACAGGCTCTTCTCTTAAGTGCTGTTTTAGAAATAGCAAGATGTATCTTCTAGATCTTTCTAGCTCAGTATTATCTCCTTATTTGCTGGTTATGTGTAAAAATCTTTTATTTTTTCTGGATAATAAACTTCAGACACAGTAAACAAAAGAAGTGTGCTATCTTAAATGGTTTTACTTCTAAAATACCTGGACAATTAGAGATTTAGAGCTACTATTACATTCTCCCTTTCGTAGTTTATTTCTTTATTTTTTATTTATTTTTTCATTTATTTTTATTAGTTGGCGGCTAATCATAGTTTGTTTTTTTATTAATAACATTGTATTTTTCTTTTACTTATGATTGGATTTTTACATTGCTGCATGTTACTTTTAAACACCTGGCTTTCTCATTGAACAGTTTCATTTCCTTTAATTCATGTGAAGACCTTACTATTAGTTATTCATGTTATTTCATTAATGCATTTTTGTTTGTTTATACATTTACTCTATTTGATTAAGGATAACTCCTATGCTTTTTAAAAAACCTTTCCAAAACCAAATAGAGAAGTTAGTGATTTTTATATATTTCTTTTTGTCTGTTTTAGGATGGCTACCGTAGAGTAGTTAATGTTGTGCCAAAGAAACCACCACTGCTAGACAGACCTGGTGAAGGAAGCTACAATAGATATTACAGTCATGTTGCTTACCGAGACTATGACGAGGGCCGCAGTTTTTCTCATGATCGAAGAAGTGGTCCACCTCACAGAGGAGTATGTAAATTTCCCCCATGTGCTAATTGTTGTTTTTTGTAAATTTAAGAATCATGTGATTTTTGGAATTTATGTGACTGGCCTTGAAGGCAGTTGAATAAACACGTCCTGCTTGATGCTCTGTTGAATTGCCTGCTGGAGCAGTCAAATGGGAACTGGTAGTCAAAAATCTTGGGGTGCTGGACAAAGTGGGTAAGCGCTCTGGATTGCTCTGTCTTACGTTTAATGACATTGATTCCAACTCGCCTGCTTTTTTATCCCTTCAGTTGGCGAGGGTTTGTAGAACCAGATAAAGGTAATCTTACCTATTGCTTTTGTATTCAGTAAGAATCCGCCTGCAGTGCGGGAGACCTGGGATCAATTCCTAGGTTGGGACGATTCCCTGGAGAAGGGAAAGGCTACCCACTCCAGTATTCTGGCCTGGAGAATTCCATGGACTGTATAGTCCACGGGGTCACAAAGAGTCAGCTTTCAACAACTGAGCGACTTTCACTTTCACTTTCAAATGATAAGCAGGTAGTTATCTTCTGGTACTGAATGTGCCCAGTTAAAATTACGTTATTTTCATCATGATGAAATGCTGTGGGTGAGGTTGGGTTAAGGTTGTTGAGACTCAGTCTCATATTGTTATAGTTATTATTAAAGTCTGCTTCTTAACTCGAATTAGAAAGCTCTCCAAACATTGCCTTTCCTATAATAAACATTTTTTAAATGTTAGCTACTATTGCTATTATTATGTTTTTTTCTTAATCATCTTTAATAATCTAGAAACATATTTAATGTTGCAGTAATCTGTTATTGGACTTGATTAAACTAATTCCTTGATGCACTTTCTTGACATAACTTGCATGTTTACATCATTCTTCTGTCAAACCATTTTCCTACATTTTCTCATTTTTCCCCTTTCCTACCATGTAATATCATAATTAATGACATATTCAGTCATTGCTTACAATAAAATTTGACCTCACAGTAGCCTTCGGAATTAGTTTCCATTCTTTATGCCTGAGGAAATGGAGGGAAGGTGATTTACCCAGGATTAATACATGGGAGTCCAGTTCTCTTACTACTACATTATATGATCCTTGACAATTTTAAAGTGACAGTGAGACTATTCAGTGTTCTCTTGTGTTTCTTTTTAAGTTTTGACGTTTTGTTCCTTATGTCTCAGTAGAATTGATTTTTATTTTGTTCACTTTTAAATATCATGCTTTTCCTTTAGGAGGAAGGGTTCAATATTGAAAAGTAAACATTATGCATTATCTCTATTTTAGAAATACTAAATTTTGCAACCAGAGTCATTCTTTCAGATAGTGTGAAGGAGAAACAGTTTAGCCTTTGGATAAACAGCTGTTACCTTATGAAAACCCTGTAGCTGTTTAGTGTAGACAGGGAATTTTGGATTCAGTGGACCAAATTGTATTTGAAACATAATAGTGCCTTGATAACATTTTTTACTGTTATTGTTACAAATTGAATTGTTCATTCTTTACACATTTTCTCATGTAATATTCTTCAAACAAATAAACCCACTTGAGACCCTTAGGATTCTCATGACACTAATTCTTACCTAGACTTCAGTTAATTTAAAACATTTAAAGCAAACTACTTACTAGATCCAATGTGATATTATAGCTGTTGACTTTTTTCTTTAGTTTAATGTTAGGAAGAAAAATGATGAATACATTTTACTTCTGTAAGTATGGTATGTGATGCTAAAGAGGAAAATGAAGATAATATTTATTTTAGCTGAGTCATTGTTTCTGATTGTAGGTAATGCACATGTTACAGTTGTCCATTGATAACAGGGGATTGGTTCCAGGACCCCCAGTATACCAAACCCAGGGATGCTCAAATCTCATATATAAAAAGGCCCAGTGTTTGCATATAACCTATGCACATCCTCCATATGTTTTAAATCATCTCTAGATTATTTGTGATACTTAATACAACATTGTGCTATGTAAGTAGTTGCTTGCATGTGGCAAATTCAAGCTTTGCTTTTTGAAACTTTCTGAATTCCACCCTTTCCCCATATTTTAAAATGTGATTGGTTGAATCCTCTAATGTGGAACCTGTGGATATGGAAGACTGATGTCCCTTGTTGTTATGTATAATTTTAAAGTAATGGAGCGTGGATTACTATGTGGTTTCGTTATTGTACCTCTTCCAACTTGTTTGTTTCAGAGGACAAAGTGTGCCACTTTTTAAAATTTTAAGCTTAGCTTAATTTTAAACAAGATTTTAAACATCTTGGCCTAATATAGTTTATCTAATATAGTGTTGATTTCTTATTACATTGTTTCCAATTGTAATTTTTAATGGGAGGTAGGATGAGAAAAGGAAACCAACCAGAGAAATGGGAAAGTGACGGTTTCTTCATTAGGCTTGAAGATGAAAATTGCTGAGCAAACTTGACAGAGGAAGAAAATAAAATGAAAGATTGAGAAATGTGTGTTTGAATTTAATTTAAATTGAACCTTTGTTGTTGAACAGACTTTCTATATTGTGAATGATGGCATGTGTTTTTGGCAATAAAGTTGTTTGGGCCCACTGAAGAAATACTTTAAAGTATTTTAATAGAGATAAATAAGTACCATAGGTTCTCAGTCTACCAAATTAGTTGTTTGAAATAGATTACTTGTTGTATCTTGTTTTCTTTTTCATGCCTTTGAAGCTCAGAGAAACTTAGAAAGGTATTTTTTCCCTCATATTATTTTGGTCTTGAGACTAGTTTCCAGTAATGCTGTTAGATACAAATAGATACTCTATTTGACCAAAATAATGTAAATGAATATTTAAGTAACATTTTTCTCTTACAGGATGAATCTGGCTATAGGTGGACAAGAGATGATCATTCTGCAAGCCGACAACCTGAATACAGGTAAAGAGATAAAAATAATAATATAATTACCTTGATGTTTGCCTCATTGAAATGTCTCCTGTTGAAACCTCACCTTAAGACACATAGGTGAAATATTAAATAGGATTTAAAATTTCAGAAGCAGATAGTATTATAATCTTTTTGTGACTGTGTAATATAATATTAATGGCACTAGTAAGCTAGCATTCTTATCTCTTGGCATTTCATAATAGGTAATAAAAATATTTAAACTATTGTTTATTCTTTTCTGATTATTAAATTGTTCTTAATGAGTCATGTGGATTATAAGTTATCTATTTACTTAATTAGAAAGTAAGGCATTTTTTTTCCAGAAGTATCCTTCTTGAAAATATTTGAGTCATTACAAATTATCTTCTATTACAAAGCATCTCTTAGTTGCTTTATTTTGATCAATTAAGTTCTATTGGGAAAATACAGTTTGGAAGGACCTCGATCATTGTTAGCTTTGGTTACTTATAGAGACATTTGATAGAACAGTTAGAAAAAAAAGACAGATTTAACTGATAGTTGCTTTCTTGTATAACTTGACTCTGATAGTGTTGGAGGTTGTAAAGGATCCTTTTAAAGATTTTTTATAGCCCGTCAGAGAAGAATCACAAACCCATGGAGAATGGCAAGGAGTAACTGCCACAACTTCATAGGTGCCAGAAGTAGACAGCTGGATTCTGTGGGCAGCTATTACAGCCCAGTAGTCAGCGGAAGCATCAGCATGGCACTGTTGGATCCCTGTCCCCAAGTCCCAGAGGGTGATAGGATGGGCAGAGCTGGCAGCTCTGCACACAGTGGGATGCTCTGTAACTGAGACACCCAGAGTTAAGCTAGATACCTTTTGTTGCAGTCAGGAAGCAAGTCAGTCCTTTCCTGGGGAGTAAGCAGTCACATGGTAGTTAAACTGTGGTCAGCTTGACCTGTTGACCAGTTGACCCGTTACAAAAACTCCTCTCTATCAGTGGATGGTTAGGCCTTTCAGTTTGATACCTATGGTAGGGTTGCACAAGGATATTCAGAGTTCATGGCAGACTGCTTCTCTCAAAAGAAGCAACAGAGATAATAGATGTTGAAAAATACTTTGATAAAATTTAACACTTAGTGTATAACTTCAGCCAGGAAGAGAAGAAATTTTCCTGTATCTAATAAACAGGCATTTGCTATACTGAATGGTAAAGTTAGAAGCATTTGCCTTAAAACCAGAGCAAAGCAATAATGCCTGTTTTGACTGCATCTATTCATCATGGTAAGAATGGTTTCAGCCCCTCTGCTGAGACAAGGAAAATGAAGGTTAAGGTTTACAATTGAAAGAAACATAATTTATTTACAGATTATATAATTATCCATGCAGAAGATCCAAGAGAGTCTATAAACAATTAGAATTATTGGCAAATTAGCAAAGTTCAATATAATAAAATCAAGTATGAGCAGAATAAATTAGACAACGTAATTTAAAAACACTATAGCATAAAAACTATTAAGGAGTAATAAAAATGAAATTTAATGAAAATGTGTGAGACTTAGTTGGATGAAATTACAACTCATTTCTAAAGAACATTTTTAAGGTCCTGAATAAAAGGAGCAGTGCAACGTCATTGGATGGGAAGAGACAAACATCAGAAATGTATCAATTCTCTTCAAATTCAGGTGTGAATATGTAGTTCCAGTCTAAATTCCAGATTTTTGTTTTTATTTGTTTGTTTGCATAGGAGTTGGTAAACTGATTCTAACATTAACAGGAAGAGGCCAAATAACAAAAATAGTATTGAAAAGATTTGAAGACTCAGATCATGTATCAGAACAAAGCTGTAGTAATGTGAACAGTGAAACAGAGTAGGGAGTCTGGAAGCAAACCTAGATATGTCTAGGAGTTTAGGGTATAGCAGTAGTAGTATTACAAATCAAATGCAGAAAGAATGAACTTTTTAATAAATAGTACTGGCAAAATTTCTCTCCATTCAGCAGAGAAAAACATAAAATTGGAATCCTGGCATGTAAACATAAATAATCTGATGTAATAAAGACCTAAATATAAAAAAAAAATACAAGTTTTGATTAGATTAGCTAATGGTTTATAGTCGTTTATTTCTCCCCAAAGAACCAGCTCTTGGATTATTTTACTGTGTACTATGGTACTATGCTTAGTTGCTCAGTCATGTCCTACTCTTTGTGACCCCATGGACTGTGGACCACCAGACTCCTCTGACCATGGGATTTCCCAGGCAAGAATACTGGAGTGGGTTGCCATTTCCATCTCTAGGAGATCTCCCAGTCCAGGAATCTAACCTGGATCTCCTGCATGGCAGGCATATTCTTTACCACCTGAGCTATTTCTGTCTTTATTCTTTCTTCTTTGCTTTTTTTTTTTTTAAGCATTTTTCCCCCTGTACCTGTGGATAATTTTACATAAATGAAATAAAATTGTATATGTGACTCCTCAGTCTTCATAGCAGTGTTAGTAGCTTGGTATATGTTCTGTTGCTGCTGCTGCTGCTAAGGCACTTCAGTCATGTCCGACTCTGTCCGACTCTGTCCGACTCTGGCTCCGCCATCCCTGGGATTCTGCAGGCAAGAACACTGGAGTGGGTTGCCATTTCCTTCTCCAGTGCATGAAACTGAAAAGTGAAAGTGAAGTCGCTCAGTCGTGTCTGACTCTTAGTAACCCCATGGACTGCAGCCTACCAGGTTCCTCCGTCCATGGGATTTTCCAGGCTAAGAGTACTGGAGTGGGGTGCCATTGCCTTCTCCAATATGTTGTTAGGTTGATGCAAATATAATTGCAGTTTTGTACCATGAATTTTAAGTCATTATAACTAGGCTCAAATACATCTTTGTTAATGAAAATAGAAACCATTACAATCAACACGTTATTGTCAATGAGAAATAAGTTTGTTTATTCCTGTAGCATAAAAATCCATACTTTGGGATTCAGCAGACTCTTGGAAAGCATTTTCTGCCTCCTGATGGTTGTGGAAGTGTTTTCCCTGCAAAAAGTTGTGGAGATGCTTGAAGAAGTGGTACTTGGTTGGTGAGAGATCAGGAGAATGTGGCAGATGAGGCAAACAAAATCTCATAGCCCAATTTGTTCAACTTTTGAAGTGTTGGTTGTGTAATGTGTGGTCAGGTGGTGTTGTGGAGAAGAACTGGGCCCTTACTGTTGACCAGTGCTGGCTGCAGTTTTCAATGCATCTCATTGATTTGCTGAGCATATTTCTCAGATACAATGGTTTCACCAGGATTCAGAAAGCTGTGGTGGATCAGATGGGCAGCAGACCACCAAACAGTGATGATGACCTTTTTGGGTGCAAGTTTGACTTTGGGAAGTGCTCTGGAGCTTCTTGTTGGTCCAGTCACTGAGCTGGTCATCACTGGTTGTCGTATACAATCTGCTTTTTGTCACATGTCCCGATCCAAAAATGGTTCATTGTTGTTGTGTAGAATAAGAGAAGATGATACTTCAAAATGCTTTTTTTTTGGTCAGCTCACAAGGTACCCACTTACCTACCTTTTTCACTGTTCCAGTTTGCTTCGATGACCATATGCTTCCAATGCCAAATGACCATAGAATGGCTGACAGTGAATTCTTGGACAACATCTTGTGTAGTTTTAGAGGATCCACTTTGATGATCCTCTCAGTTGGTCGTTGTCGACTTCTGATGGCCGGCCACTGGACTAGTTATCTTCAAGGCTCTCATCTCATTTGCAAAATTTCTTAAATCATCCTGGCCAGATGTGTTGTTGATGTGAGTTGTCTCTGCTTTCTGACCAATTCTGAACTCAAGTAAGAAAATCGCCCAAATTTGCTTTTTGTCTAATATCATTTCCATAGTTAAAATAAAGAGCAAGTAATAAAATCATTAGCAAAAAAACATAAAGCAAGAAATGCATGTTAAAATCATTTATAGCATAACCACATTTATTTAAGAGTGTATTCTAATATCAAGTGGCAAATTTCAACAACACAAAACCACAGTTACTTTTGCACCAACCTAATATTTTTTCTATATTCAAAGACATTTGGGGTATTTTATTTTTGTTAATGAGGTCAGCTTCCCTGGTGACTCAGATGGTAAAGAATATGCCTGCAACGCAGGAGAACCGTGCAGTGCTCGAGATCCGGGTTCGATTCCTGGGTTAGAAAGATCTCCTGGAGTAGGAAGTGACAACCCACTCCAATATTCTTGCCTGGGAAATCCCATGGACAGTGGAACCTGGCGTACCCCAGTCTCTATAGAGTTGAAAAGAGTCAGACACAATTGAGCAATTAGCACTTAAACACACTTCTCTCTAAGTTGATTTTCTCCAGAGGCTTGTGCAGATCCCTCCAAGTTATTTGGTTTAATGTTTTTTTTGAATTTCCAAGTAATATTCCATTATGTGGATATACCAGATATTTCAGTTGTTCACCTGTTGATGAATATTCATGCAGTTTCCAGTACAAAACAATGTTGGAATAAATCTGAGTACATAGTATCTTTAATAACAGTACTTTGGTACCGATGGGATAGAATGCCAGAAGTGGAGCTTCTGGGTCAAAGGGCATGCATGTTTTAAATTTTAATAGGTGTTTTCAGTTTGCCTTCTAAAAACCTAAAACAAATATGCTTCATTTTAAAAATCTAAAATTTTAACTTGGACATTTAATTGTTTTTCTTATGTATTAACATAAGTATAGTTTTAAAATTTCCTTTAAGCACCGTTGTAACTAATAGTAATTTAATACTGATTCTGACAATAATAATCCTAGTTATTCTGTGATCAGAGAATGTTGCCTGTACTCTTATTCTGTTGTTTGAAATTCATTGATCATTAGTTTTTTTTTTTAATTTCTCTATTTTTAAACTTTTTAAAGTTAAAAAAAAAATTTTTAGCCATGTCATGCAGCATGTGGGACTTTTATTTTCCTGACCAGGGATCAGACCCATGCCCCTTCCACAGTGGAAGGGTGGAGTCTTAACCACTGAACCACCAGGGTGGTTCCTGTTGATCAT